GCGGTGGGAGGGGGGTGGGGGGCGAAGACAGCGGAGCAGCGAGAGGGAGAAGGAGAGGCTGAAAACCGTGAACCGAAGCACTGCAATCACCGTCACCGCTGCTACTACTACTACCGCAGCTAGCAGCGACACATTGCTGCTCCCGCCGCCGCCCTGGGTGCCCCCCGCCGCCGCCATGGGAACTCCGCATCAGTCGCTCCAACCGCCGCTTTGTCCGTGGGCCATGTCGTGATCCGTGGGCTCCGCAAGCGGGTTTTCTCTCCGTGATCCCGACCGAGGCGAGGAGGCGAAAGGGAGGAAGAGGAGGAGGAGGGAGGGGAGGAAAGTGGTGGTGGTGGGGAAGATGTTCGCCTCGGTGGGGCCTCGGGGCGCCCCTCGCCCACCCGTCGCTCCGGCCATCCCGGAACCGGACCTGAGCCATCTGACGGAGGACGAGAGGAAGATCATCATGGCTGTGCTGGCTCGGCAACGGGAGGAGGAGGCGAAGGAGGATGCCATGTTAAAGTAAGAGAGAGAGAGAAAAAAGAGAGAGAGAGAGAGAGAGAGAGAGAGAGAGAGAGAGAGAGAGAGAGAGAGAGAGAGAAGGAGAGGGGTAGTGTGAGAGAGAGACTGGGCCCGATGGGCTATTTATGTATGTGGTAAACCTCGGTCTCCATTCTGATTGTTTTTCAGCATGGGGAAGCAGTGTATGTGTGTGTGTGTGTGTGTGTGTGTGTGTGTGTGTGTGTGCCTACATCATGCAGGTCCCTCCACTCTCTCACTCCAGGCCCATGTACAGATGTGTGCAGCTGTACCATGCAGGGTCCACATCCTCTACTCTGGTCCAGTGTGATGCTCACACTGACTGTGCTGGGTCAGGTGTAACTTTGCTCAGGAGAGAGGAAGAAGAGGTTGGTGGGAGGATGAAGGGGTGTGTCACCACACCATCATCATCAGCAGCATCATGCTCCACTCAGATGAAAAAACAAGGTCTTATTTCTCATGAGAACTTGTCTCCCTAACATCAAGTGGCTAATTGACTTTTGTTTCATTTATAGATGCAGCAGGAAATGGCAGAAGCCTCCCTGGCGTTGAGTGTAGTAAAAGTAAAAACCCCTCTCTGTTGGCTTTCTCTGTGAGCATCCATCTCAACAGCTGCTGTTCCCAGCTCTGGGGTGCGGTTGAGCCTTTCCCAGCCGTATGCACTGTATGTAGGCCAGTGCTCTTGCAACACACACATTGCACAGGCTGTTATAGAACCAGTAGTCCTGTAACAGTGTGAGGAAAGGTGCCTGTGTAATGTCCTAATGTCATTTGAATCAGGAGTGACTAACTGTGTGCACCCCCCCTCCTTCTCCTTTTTATCTACCATCATACATACATGCAGGGTGAAAAGTCTCATCTGGATTTATTTTTCACTGTAATCGGTGTAGAAATCCACCCCCCCCCCAAGTTAAAATTATGCCTTTTCTCACGTTTTCGGCATGGTGTGCATGAAGCTGCACGAGAAAGATAGACCGACCCACCTAAGCGAGGCGCTCCTCAAGCTTTATGTCTCTGTTCTATTTTAAGCCCCCTGTGCGGACTGATAGCCCAGCACTGGAACGGAGGATCGATTCATTGCATCTAAAGAAGGAAATGTCCAATACATGGCTCCGGCTATATATTCCGGCTAAGTGGCTATGCATCATTTTCAGTAGTTTATTAGCAGTCGTGGATTCACTCATATCAGCACATACATGTCTTAACCTATATTTGCTTCAGCATCGTTTCCCCTCATCACTGCTTGGATTGAGATCGCAGTAGCAGAGCAGTGTGTGTGTGTGCCTTTACGAACTGCACTGAAAAGCTTTGCACTGGTTGACTAATACATTCATGGTGAGTGTACTAGCAGTAGGGCAGTGTGGGTTGTAATGCAGAGAGGCAGGGAATAAACTACTCTTATGAGAATTTTTAAATACACTTACCGTCAGATGCGTTGCTTTTAAAGCATAGGATTACAGCAGATAGCCATAGCCACTTCTCACTTCACTGATTAAACTATTAGCTCAATGGAAGTGAATTCTGGCATTGTCTTACAATCACCTCATGTCAGCATTAGCCTTAATAAGTCAAATGTATAATTTATTTAGATTTCACAGTGATAGTAAATGTCAGCACCCTCTTTTTGAAGGTAATATCATGTGCTGAATGTGTCTCAGTCCGTGATAAATACACAGGAAACACATTGATATCCATTGTTAAAGCTTAAGTGGATGAAAAATGTAAGGTGCGTGGTGTTTTTCGCATCTATTGACTATAAATGTGCTATTATACTCCCTATATTTCCTATATTTTAGATATTTTAGCTAATCTATCTACAATGCATAACAAGGATTCAACAGTATCGGTATTGTTTCAGAAATTCTCAAAAAAAGTAACATTACGGTATGCAAAATACTGCTGGAAAAACCTATACCTGTGCTATCTGTACAATACAGTACATCTTTGTGTGATTGGGATATTTGTGTATACAAGGTAACAGAAGCCAAGGAATTGGTCATACACAGTGGACCCTTGCCCTACCCTAACCCTAACCTGATATGAATGACTGGGACTGATAACGGAAACACAATTGTATTTAAAGATAGTGTATAAAACATGCTTGTTTTTTTGAGGCCAGTATTGGTGCTGTTAGCAATCCGAAGAATATAAATGGTGCGTCTGTGGTCATTAGAATAACTGCTAAGCATTTTGTCAACCATGCTGTAGTATTTAAGAAATGTGAATGTATTTTATTCTGTCTTTCATTGGCTTCCATTCATTTTCATTCAATTCAAGAAAGTGAATGAAAACCAATGGATCCTTAAATGTTGGAACACATACATGAATCACAATATAAGTATGCAATTTGGAAATAGGCAGTGCACTTTTCCAGAGTAATCCGAGGACGTCCCATCTACCTCAATCACTACTTATTTTAAAAATAGCATAACAATGCAGCGGGTGGTGAGAATCCTTAAGAAGCAAAGAGATATCACCGGTCCTGATGTGCATAAAGTGTCTCACAATCAGAGGGGCACCCACAGTGTTGACGATGAAAAGACATGTATGCTTTAGAAAGCGTGGGTGTTGGCGGGGATTTTTCTCTCAAGTTTCCTCTGTGATCTAACGGATCAGAGAACAGTGTTCATGTTTATGGATGAGATGGTTTGGAATCACATCGTCAATGTGTGAGTGGACATATTGAAAGCGTCTCATTGTTGTCAAAAGCTGGCCATCGACGCCTTTAGGTATATCTTTGGCGCGGCAATACGATTTTTAATTTTCTTTGGGTTTGTTTGGTTGGAACTCAGAAAACTATCTGTACTAGGTTGCTATGCTTTTATAACTGAATTATGACACAATTCATAATAAGTAATGTCTTCCTCATTTCCTGTGTTTCAGAGAGGAGAAGCCTATCCAAGCAAGAACGGTGAACCTGGTTGGGCAGAAGAAACCTCCGCAACAAAATGATGTCCGGTGAGTGGCAACAGATATTTTTCAACCAATTTCTTTGTTAACTTGGACTTTAAAAAGAAATGAAATAGATGCTTTTGCGTCACTTTTACTTACTTCTGCCTGAGTGGTCCAAAAACAGCCGGCAATCAGGAGCTGGCAGTATGTTTTTTTTTTGCCTCACATTCATGTTTTGTTGTGAAAGCTATTTTACACCTTGGATGAGTCAACAGTATAAAAGACAAACTGTTGTTCTGATGCTTTCTTATGCAAGCGTGAGTTAAGCCTTTATGATGGGATTTGTATGGTCGTTGAATGGCATTGCAAAGGCACCTCACCTACGCTTTTTGATTTATATTTACCAACTTTCTTGCCCTAGTTTGTTCCTACATGATCACAACAAAAGAAGAACAAAGTAACATTTATGCATCAGATCTTCTGTAGGGTTAACATTTGTATTAAGGCAAACATTCAGTTAATATAGTAGTTTTAGGTTAGCTTGTATAAAAAGTGGCAAGTGTGACGCATCACATAAGGCTAAACAAAAGCTTGGTTTTTCCACATGGGGGTGGAGACTTAACCCTAACCCTACTCACAATCGCTCTTTAAGCTAGTTTGCTGGCTTTTGGCTTAATTAGTCGCCTACCGGACAAGTCAAGTTTTCCACCCCTTTGCATCAGATTACAATAATAGCCTGTTTTTGACAGTAGGAGGGATTATATCTATCACCTAGGGGTTTTTAAAGTAACTAAACTTGCAAAGATAGTGTAAGTGGACAAGCTGTAGGAACGTTTTCAGTATATGAAAAGGTAAATCCAAACAGGATGGATAAAAAACCTAAGGTCAGCGTTAAGTAAGCGCAGCAAGCTAGTTCTTATTACAAAAGTCAACATGGTGGTTTGTAACCAGTTGTTCCAACAAACCAATCTGAATCTGCTAATCCTCCAGATGTTGTAGCGATAATATTTTAACTGTGGCTTCTTAGAATCTTGAGTACTGTAGTATTCCATGGTAGATGACAGACCAAACAGAAAATCTGTAACTTCTCAGAAACATTTGAATATTGGTTAAACTATACCAATAATATCGATAACGCATCATGAGGTTATCAAAGCAACCCGTGATGTTGACTGACATTGAAGTTGTTATAAAAAAATGTACTCTAATTTGCAAGTTCACATTGGGAAATATACTTTCAGCTTCAGAGATGCCGACCTCTTTTCGCCTGTAAACATGCAAATCATGGATCTTTTCTATCGAAGCCTTCCAACTAGTATCATACTGAGAAGGTAGGTGGTTAGCGGTTAGCTTACACTGAAATATTGACTCCCACCTTGTCTCAAATGAGTGGGGATGGATGCTTGATGGGTTGATCAGGAGCCCTTCTTTGTAACAGTTCAGCTTGGTCCCTCTCGCTTTGTATAAAGCCTGGTTATTTTGTTGGTGTTTTCTGAATTGAAGCCTTTTTTGAACAAGACGTCTCTTTCCCTCTTTGATGTTATGGGAGCATCCCTGTCCCCACTGGCTTATTTGCACGTCAACATGCGAGTTTCCGCACGTTTATGCTCGCAGTGACCTCTGCAGCCAGTAATGTATTTTTTCCTGCCGCACAATGATCAAAGGATAAAGCTTGTTTATGTCTGCACTTAATGTGTGTTGGAGTGTGTGTGTGTGTGTGTGTGTGTGTGTGTGTGTGTGTGTGTGTGTGTGTGTGTGTGTGTGTGTGTGTGTGTGTGTGTGTGTGTGTGTGTGTGTGTGTGTGTGTGTGTGTGTGTGTGTGTTGTTGGATCAGAGTAGAGTGAGGTGGGATTACAGAGTAAGTCAGCTGGAGCACATCTTCTTCTCTGAGGAATCCCCCTATATGGCCCCCGTTTGTAACATTATATGCCTTTTCGGTGAGTATTCCCCACATTATTCAAAGTCAGTATCTTATCACTGTGCCTTTTGCAGGGTCCATTCACAATATAATGTCACGACAGATATTTAAATGAAAACCACAACAAAACAGGAGAACTGTTTGAGGCTATTTTATGATTTCTAATGTTTTGTTTTGGACAGAAACTATGGTGTGTTAAAAAGTGTTAGCTTGGGTTTTCACTGGAACTTTCTGCATTGGTTCCCCCACATTTCTAACACTACGGTCTGTCTATCTTAAATAGGGAGAACTGATACTATGATATCAAGTCAAAGCTAAGTATCTTTTAAAAACATGACCATTCTCGTTTTTCACAAGTCCCCTTAGATTTGTCAGGACTCCAGACCAACCAGCGTCATATCATCCAATAGAAAAAGGGCCACAGTAGACTCACTTTCAACTCTTCCACACCCAATTCTACATTCGAATAACTAATCCGATTTGAAATCGACAGGAGAGCTAATTAACTTTAGATGTAAGCAGCCAATACAAATAGGTTAATTAGGGTTAGGGTTAGGGTTAAGGGGGTTTGATTCACACTATGCAATCATTTATGGTACATTAGATTACATTATATGTTATCGTGCTGACACTTTTATCCAATGACAAAATCATAAATACAGTTTGAAAGAGATGTTTTCACCCAAATATAAAATAGATATCAGAGAGAGAATTATGACCTGTTTATTATTCTCACAATTACCAGAATGCAAACAATAATAAAAGATAGTGTATGTTGAATGACATGGAATTCTACATTTAAATTAAACATGTTAAGGTATCAAATGATAATTTTTGGAATCTTTTCTGGAATTTGGGTAAATTACTAATGAGATTGTACTTATTGTGTGTACATTTGACAGCTAATTTAAATGCAATGTATATTTCTGTTATTGTGACATCCCCAGTCTGAACACAGCTTTATAATGTTGGTTTAGAGTTATCTTATTGAACTGAATTTTTCATTCTCTCACACAGTATAACCAGGAACATAGAGTTAGCCTTCTTATTTTATTTCAATAGAGAAACCATTGCAATTTGTCAGTAAGTATAAGCTGGAAGTAAGCTGGAAAGCTGACAACAAGATAAATGCAAATGTAATTCAAGATCAATTGCTTTCTTTTAAACTAGAGATTTAAGATTATTTGGCATCCTTGGAATTGACTTATTCTAGCTGATAAAATACCTACGTGGTCATTTTATGAGCATGTATGGTTAGCATTCATAGCTGGGACTTAATTAACCCAATCCATATTTCTTAACGTCACTGGTCATTCCTGAACTAATTTTAGTAAGTGAAATGCAACAAAGCGCAGGGAAACCCTGGAAGGCAGACATGAGCTGATCGTTGTGTATTTCTCAAGGCATAATATTTATTCACAGATGTCTGAAGGAAATAAAGTGGGCAGGGAGAGCTGGCAGGTGATGGTCACTTCCTGCTGAGTGTTTGCCAGGTTGTTCGGCAGAATGGACTTCTGGTGATCTGTCGATGGAGCTGCTGGCGATGTAAACGCTCTGTAAGAGAAAAGGTCTTGTTCTAAACATGACCCATTGTACTATTGAGTTCATCACCCGAGAGTTTTAAATAAGCCCAAGAGTTGTAGAGGTTTCTGAGCCTGTAGGGGAACATGTAATCCTTTAGCTGTAGTTAATCATTATATGCAAGGCTTTCAAATGATAATATCACTGTGTTATTATCGAGCGTGCGTACCTGAATGCACTCTTGTATGTTCTCTTGAAGGTTCACCATTCAATATATCAGTGTCCCATGGAGTTTAATCAACTCATTTAGACCCCTATTTACACGGGAACGTTTGCGTTTACGCACCTTATGCGTTTTCAAAAAAGTATTCCGTTCACACGCATTCGATTCATTTAACGTATCCGTTCACACGAGACCGCTCGACCCGCTGGAAACGCTGTAGTACATATGCCGGGCCTGTATGTGGCGCTGCTGCCACCAAAAAATACACCAAAAGCAGCGAAGAAGACCCCGGAGCATGGTTGCCATGGTTGCCCTTCTGTTTATTCTACGCGGTGGACGGCATGTGCTCCTGCTGTAATTCTCTCCGGTAGTCCACCAGCAGATGAAAAACACCCACCTCTTTCAAGGGACGAGGGAACCGTGCGGCAGAGTTTCCTTTAAAAATGTTTTCCCCTGTCAACATGTCCGTTAAAGTTTAAATCTTCCGGACAAAATTAGAAAAGTGCCGGTCGATGCCATCGATTACTGTACACTATAATGAAATATAAAGACTTGTAAAAAAAAAAAAGTGCCGGTCAGAGGTCTTCTTGAGCTTTAAAACAAATTGATAACGACTCTATATAATAATATAAGAATAATAAATGGAGCCTCTCTTTTCCTCCCCCTCTTCTGACAGCCCAGCAGCTGATCTCTGAGCAGACGTGGGGAGAGGGAGGCGGGGCTATTTCATCGTTATCAGAAAATGATCGTATAGGGCGTACACACAGAGCCGTTTGACCCCCCAGAGCATTCCGTTTGCAGATCTATCCACCTTGGGACCCGTTATCGTTTGCGGGGTCCGTTTCTATCGTTTTGTTATGGCCTCGTGTTAACGAAAGGGCTATACGCAAGAGAAACTATGCAGATACAACCCGTATCGTCCTTGCGTAAACGGGGTCTAAGTCCCACTTCCTCCATTACTATTTATTTTTTGGGAAACCAACCAATGACTTACAGCTTGACATAAATGTAGCAGTAGCAGGGTGTTTTTCTTTCTGGAAGAAATTGGTGCAGTTCAATATGTCCCGGTCAATTATCCTAACCCTAACCCCCTGGAGAAATGAGAGAAATAATCTGTGTTTATCAGGTTTACCACAATTGATAGGCAGGTAGATTTCAAAAGCGGCTGCTACAATTCCAATTCAATGATTGAAAGGCATGATCTGCTTTACCTGCTTGACCTTTTCTTTTACACCAAAATGTTTGTCTTCTGGTTTTTTAAAGATGTTTTCAAACGATCTACCAATGAACAAGAAGTGACTTAATGACCTGCTAATGAGTGTATTTGCCACCAATTGTTTTACTGAAAGTAATGCGGATCATTCACGTGGAATGGTCTTCAAATGAGCTAAACAGGATGTTATT